GCTCCTGCATGTTGGCAGTCACCCCCCCACCCCCACCCCCCTCATCCCTTTGTTTCTGTCAACATGGAGCTTTTTAATTTGATCAGTGAGCTGACATCATCAGTGACATCATCAGTGACATCAGTGACATAATCGTCGACATCATCGGTGACATCATCAGCAGGGATTAAAGATCCAGTCTAAGATAACACATTTCTTCCTCATCTACCTTCATGCTTTCACCTGCAGACACCTGAGCTCATTTCACCTGCAGACACYTGAGCTCAGCCTCCTGATTGGTCGGCTCTCTCAGGGTTTGAGTCTCATCACCGTGATGAGGCTGAGCAGGAATCAACCTAACCGTGTCCCGTCTCTTGCAGCCGAGGGAGAAAGGCCGGATGCGTTTCCACAAGCTGCAGAACGTTCAGATCGCTCTGGACTTCCTGAAACACCGACAGGTGAGGACAGACGGGTCGGTTCTGTCTGCTGGTTCTGAGTCCGAACTCAGCTGTTCCTCTGCTTCAGGTCAAACTGGTGAACATCAGGAACGATGACATCGCAGATGGAAACCCCAAACTGACCCTGGGTCTGATCTGGACCATCATCCTGCACTTCCAGGTCCGTTAGAAGCTCTTTATTGTTCTGTATATTTATACRTTTTTCACAAATCTGAATGGAAATGAATGGGTTAAATGTTCAGAGTTAGGCCCCGCCCACATAGAAGTAGTAGTGTGTGAGTAGAGAGGGTTAAACCATGATGTCATAGCCCCGCCTCTAACCRTCTTTTTCTTGTTTTGTTTACGTTTCTTTGTGCTCCGCCTCTTGTTTCTTGGTTCTGGTGTATGTGGTATTCACAGTGCAGCGCCACCTCCAGGCCCGGAGGAGGAATAGCAGCATTCTGGCTGGTTTTTGGTTCTTCAGCGTGGAGGAAGTTATTTTTAAAGACAGCGTTGTGTTTATGAGCTTACTCATAGGTGTTTGCACCAGAGGCCTCTGACATCCAGGAACCAATCAGCTGTTTTAAAGGGTTTCAGTAAACACAGCAGTTTGGGACAAAGTTTCAGTAAAGATTCAGTAAAGATTCAGTGAAGTCTCAGCAAAGATTTAGTAAAGTCTCAGCAAAGATTCAGCAAAGATTCAGTAAAGTCTCAGCAAAGATTCAGTAAAGTCTCAGCAAAGATTCAGTAAAATCTCAGCAAAGTTTCAGCAAAGTTTCAGTAAAGTCTCAGCAAAGATTCAGCAAAGATTCAGCAATGATTCAACAAAGTTTCAGTAAAGTCTCAGCAAAGTTTCAGTAAAGTCTCAGCAAAGTTTCAGTAAAGTCTCAGCAAAGATTCAACAAAGATTCAGTAAAGTTTCAGTAAATATTCAGTAAAGATTCAGTAAAGTCTCAGCAAAGTTTCAGTAAAGATTCAGTAAAGTCTCAGCAAAGTTTCAGTAAATATTCAGTAAAGATTCAGTAAAGATTCAGTATAGTTTCAGTCTGAAACGTGTTTTATTTGATGAAATCAGTTAGTTGTTGCAGGCTTGAAGAAGTGGAGCCCTCCTGATGTAATAATCCTCTCTGAGTCTTTATCTCCTTGTTTTAGTGGATTCTGTGGTTTCTCCACACGGAGCAGGGGGGAGGAAAGTCTGAGCTCGGGTCTGGTGTTGACCCAGGACTGAGTCTGACTGAGAAAAGGGTTTTGTTTGGACCTTTGGGAGCTCTTTGTTGTGAAGCTACTGTTCTCAACATTCTTTTCTAAGAGAAGAACAGACTTTTTGTCTTCTTCAGTGGTTCTGTTGGCTGCTTCCTGGTCTCACCATCTGACAGCGTTTATGTTCTGGTGTTTGGGAGTTTTTGGGAGTTCCTGCAGAATCTTTGATGACTTAATGAGTAGGATGGTTATGATGGGCTGTTTGTGGGATCCTGGAGAGGAGAAGACTCTGGAGGGTGGAGGATCTGTTCTGGTCTGAGTCACTCTCTGCCCACCGAGACTTCAGGGTTTCCCTCTGAAGGAACAAAATGCCTCCTCCACCCTTCCTGTTATAAAAATAAAAATAAAAATGTTTCTCCTGCTGTGACTCATCAGCACGCTGTGAGAACTGGTTCCAGTAGACTGATCCAGACCTCAGACACACTGAGGGTCTTTATTCTGCACTTTTTATTCACTTCAAACAACAAACTTTAGATCAGTGAGGGTTTAACAGGATCTGACTGGACCTGACTGGTTCTAACTGGTCCTGACTGGACCTGACTGGTTCTAACTAGTCCTGACTGGTCTTAGCTGGTTTAACTGGAATATGACTGGTTCTGACTGTTCCTAGCTGGAATCTGACTTGTCCTGACTGGTTTTACTGTTCCTGACTGTTCCTAGTTGGAATTTGACTGGACCTGACTGGTTTTAACTGGAATTTGACTGGTCCTAATTGGTATCTGACTGGTCCTAACTGGTTCTAACTGTTATCCAACTGGTCCTAACTGGTATCCGACTGGTCCTAACTGGTATCCGACCGGTCCTAACTGGAATGTGACTGGTCTCAACCAGTCCTAACTGGAATGTGACTGGTCCTGACTGGAATTTCACTGATCGTAACTGGTCCTGACTGGAATCAGACTGGTCCTAACTGGTTCTAACTGGAATCTGACTGGTCCTAACTGGTCCTGACTGGAGTCTGAATGGTCCTAACTAGTCTTGATTGGAATCTTATTGGTCCTGACTGGTCCTGACTGGAATCTTATYGGTCCTGACTGGTCCTGACTGGAATCTGACTGGTCCTAACTGGTCCTGACTGGACTCTGATTGGTCTCGACTGGTCCTGACTTGTCCTGATCTGTCCTAATTGGTACTTTGTTGTTTTTTTGGTTGTTTTTTAGATGAGTTGTGTTTCTGAGAATAGTTTAGTTGGTGCTAACTGATGCTAACGACTGCTAGCTGATGATGCTAGTAGCTGATAGCATCAGTTACACCATCTGACTTTAACTCATCTGTTTTGTAGTTTAAATTGAACAGATAAGTCATTTTAACCCCATTTCAGGCTAAAAGCTTAGTACAGCAAACGTTATTAGCTTCCTGTTGTTTCTCTTTCATTTTGTTTTTATTAAATAAATCCTGGTCATCCTGTGGGACCTTTAATCTTCATGACTCACAGAGCTGAGTAAAACCTTCCTGTGGAAACTCTGGTAAACAATACAACATTTAATAACCTCCTTCCCACTATTTATTCAAAAAATAAAAGTTTAGTTTGGGAAATGAAGACAAACGTTGTTGGTCAGCTGCTTGTCGTTGTTTTCACAGTAAAACTTTAAATCACAAAGCATTCCTGTTTTATGGACGTCATGAGGCCTGAAAATGTGACGCAGCATAAAATCTGCAGAAGGTTTTTCTCTACATGAAGATTGTTTTAAAAACAGGAGAAAATACAAATACTGGAAAAATAAATGTGACGTTTGCTAAAGAAGATGGAGATTTAGTTTCCTGCTTCTCATCAACAGAACTTATCAAAACATTTATCTATAAAAACAGAAAATGAGTTTCAATAAAAAGTAAACAAGTCCAGAACCCAGTCATGGTGATCCCRTCCTTCTGAGGACCAGAAGGAGGCGGAGCCAACAGATGCAAACTAAAACTGCATGTTGTAGGAACAGCAACAGGTCAAAGACTCGTGTGTCCCTAACGAGTGTGTGTCCCTAACGAGTGTGTGTCCCTAACGAGTGTGTGTCCTCTGTCCAGATCTCAGACATCCAGGTGAACGGACAGTCGGACGACATGACGGCTAAAGAGAAGCTGCTGCTGTGGTCCCAGAGGATGGTGGAGGGGTACCAGGGGCTGCGCTGCGACAACTTCACCACCAGCTGGAGGGACGGCAAGCTCTTCAACGCCATCATCCACAGACACAGGTGAGACTGGGACAGGTGGACAGAGACAGGTGGGACACAAACGTCCTACATGATCAGTTCTACGGTTTGGTCCCTCTAGACGTACCTAAATCTCCAGTTGCTCCGTCCACACCTCACAGTCAGCGTTGTGGACTCAGAGACGTAGACTGGGACTTGTGCCTGTGAGACATATTGGACATACCAAGTCCTGCAGCCGACTGTTCTCTCAGACCGTCTGTCCTCGCTCTGTCGAGTCGTGAAGCTAACGTTAGCGCCTCACTCGGTGGCTCAGAGACATGTCAGCAGCTGCTTCGTGTCTCAGAGTATCAGAAAAGTCTCAGTCTGAGGTGTTTAACAAAACGTCCGTCAGGATGACAAACACAGAGCTAAATGCTAATTGCTAACTGCTAATTGCTAACGGCTAATTGCTAACTGCTAATTGTTAACTGCTAATTGCTAACTGCTAACAACTTAAAAACTACTTTTAAAAATGTTGCAGACAGTTTTTAGTATTTATCATGCAGGATGTTTTTTTTTTCCTGAAACATTTCAGATCTTCCCGACCTGCCTAGATTTGGTTCCTGGGCTCGGTTCCAGGACCCGGTTCCTGGAACCCTGCAGGGCTTTAATAGTTGACACATTTTTTTTTGGGACTGTTTTGCATTTTTGACATTTTTGTTTTCGTGATTCGCGGCTGCAGGTTTAAAGTCAGGAATGTTCGGTCCACTTCAGCTCATGTTGGGACAGAACATGGACGTTAAGGACAAATGTTCACATTTTATTTACACTTTAATTTGAAATAATTACAAACAAAAACAAAAGATTTCTCACAAAAAAAATTGATTTTTTTTATTGAATTAGTTTGAAAAATAACAACAGATCCGATTTTTAGAACAAAACTAAAT